AAGGCCGTTGCAGTAGTCTAACCTACTAGAAACAAAGGCATGAATGACAATCTCTAAGTCTGCCCTAGACATTATGCCCCTAATCCTAGAAATGTTCTTTAGATGGTAGAAAGCCGCTGAAGTTACAGATTTAATGTGACTATTGAAATTGAGGTCCGAGTCCATGATTACTCCTAGATTTCTAACCTGATTTTTGTAATTTGGAGACAGAGAAAAGGATTGGAGAAGGCTGCACACACTTATGGGCGGCACAGTGGCTGAGTGGATAGCACTCTCGCCTCTCAGCAAGAAGGTCCTGGGTTCGAATCCCGGCCGGACCAGGGCCTTTCTGAGTGGAGTTTGCATGTTCTCCCTGTGTCTGCGTAGGTTTCCTCCGGGTACTCCGGTTTCCCCTACCACTAAAAATATGTTCAATAGGTCTGGCATGCGCCTCCTGTTCGGCGACCCCACTCCTGTCTCTGTGTGGAGTGAGAGGACAAGTGCCCAAAAAATAACAATTGTAAACCGCTTTGTGACTCTGGTCTGTGAAAGGCGGTATATAAATAAAAGCTTACTTACTTACTTACTTTCTCTGAGTTTCTGTGGGCCAAACACAATAACTTCAGTTTTGTTTGAATTTAACTGAAGAAAGTTATTTTGCATCCATGAGTCAATCTGTTTGATGCAGTGACAGAGTGACTCAATTGGCCCAAGTTCACCCGCAGCCAGTGAGACATAAATCTGAGTATCATCTGCATAATTGTGATAGGATACATTTTGGCCTCAAATCAATTGACCTAGTGGCAACATATAAATATTAAAAAGAAGGGGGCCCAGAATTGAACCTTGGGGCACTCCACTTGTTAAGGCCACCTGGTCTGAGACACAGTCCCCAATCTCAACAAAGTACTGTCTGTCCTCTAAGTAGGACTTGCACCAACTTAAGGCAGTGCCAGTGATGCCAACCCATCCCTCAAGTCTCTGCAGGAGGATCTCGTGATCAACAGTGTCAAAGGCTGCACTGAGATCCAACAGGACCAACACTGTGGCTTTGCCTAAGTCACTGTTGACGCGGATGTCGTTGGAAACTTTTATCAGGGCAGTCTCTGTGCTGTGGTGGGGCCTGAAACCTGATTGAAACAGGTCAAAAACATTATTCAGCAGCAGGAAATTGTTTAGCTGCAGGTAAACGGCCTTTTCTAACACCTTCCCTAAGAAAGGCAAATTTGAAATGGGTCTGTAATTGCTGAGCACTGCAGGATCAAGACTGCTCTTCTTTAAGAGAGGCCTGATCACTGCAGTTTTCAGAGGACCAGGGAAGGTTCCTGACTGAAGAGATGCGTTCACTATTGCAGTGAGTGAAGGCAACAAACTGTTAAGAACAAGTTTTAAAAATCTAGTGGGCAACACGTCAAGGCAGCCAGTGCACGATTTCAATTTTAAAACAATGTCTTTGACCAATTTTTCAGTGACAGGTGAAAAAAAGGACAGCTCAGAAACTTCAGTTGTTTGTGTAGAAATTTGTGATGTGGGATTTATCGCTCTTTTAATGGATTGAACCTTTTCATTGAAAAATACAGCAAACTCATTGCACTTAAATGTGGAAATAAACTCAAGAGGCAACTGTGATGGGGGGTGTGTTAATCTGTTCACGGTTGCAAAAAGGGCATGGGAGTTATTTCTAGAGTTTTCAATGGTCTGGGTGAAATACCGCTCTCTTGTAGTACTTAAAATACTGTTGTACTCATGCTGCTTTAATTTAAACATTTCGTAATGGACATGGAGTTTAAACTTGCGCCATTTCTGCTCTGCCCTGCGGCACTCTCTCTTCTTTTCTCTGACAAGGTCATCATACCTCCAGGGTGCTTTTTGTACACTTTTAGTTTTCTTGGTTTTTATGGGGGCGATGGCATTCATTACATTTGAAATGGCATGAGTTACAGTGTTTAATAAGTCATCTACAGTAGAGCATGGGGCAATTTCGAACTTGATTCTTTCCATAAAAAGAGCGTCTGTTCCATCCACTATGTGTCTTCGCCTCAGAACTGTAGGTTGAGTGGGTGGTTTAGGAATGACTGACAGGTTAAAAAAGACACAGTAATGATCGGACAAAGCAATATCGACCACTTTAACATTTGTGATGTTAACTCCCTTCGTTATTAGAAGGTCGAGTGTGTGGCCTCTATTGTGCGTTGGGGCTCGCACGTGCTGGGCCAGACCAAAGGTTTCAAGAACAGAGCTGAGCTCTTTTGTATCTTTGTTTTCAGCCATATCCACATGAACATTAAAATCACCAGTAATTATCAGTGAATCAAAATCAATACATACAACTGATAAAAATTCTGTAAAATCCTCAATAAAATGTTGACCGTGTTGGGGAGGCTTGTAGATAATGACGACGAGTATGGATGGGGATTTATTCATCTCAACTTTGAACGACACATATTCAAAGGAGGCAAAGTTCCCAACAACAGAGTACACACAACAAAGTTTTTAGGAATTCATATCGATGAGAAAATTAATTGGAAGCTACACATAAATGTAATGAAAACAAAGTTGTCAAAAATTATAGCAATGTTGCACAAAGTAAAATACTCTGTAAACCAAAATGCACTTAAAATGTTGAACTCTTTCATACTTCCATATCTCAATTATTGTGTCGAAATATGGGGAAACAATTTCAAATCCAACGTCCAATCAGTTGTTTTCCTCCAAAAGAAGGCTGTCAGAATAGTTAATTATGCAGATTTTTATGCTCCTACAAACACCCTCTTCATCAAATTAAAAACATTAAAATTTCATGACCTTGTCGACCTAAACACTGCGATTTTCATGTACAAAGCCCATAACCACCTGCTCCCTCGGCACATACAGGAGAGGTTCAAACCTAGAGAGAGTCCTTATGAATTACGAGGTGTGTATGTCTTTAAGAAACCAAATGTGAGAACCAGTTTAAAAAGTAGATGCATCTCTGTCAGGGGGGTTCATCTTTGGAATGACCTGGATGAGCCACTCAAATGTTCCACCTCAATTCACACATTTAAAAAGCGCTTTAAGGCTATTGTTTAAGAAAAGTATAAATCACTAGAATAATAATAATAATAACAATGATGATGGTGGTAGTAATGGTGGTGATAATGATAATAATAATGGTAATGATGATAAATATAATAACACATATATTGTACATGTAAAATATTATCAATATTAAAAAAAATAATAATATATATATATATATATATATATATATATATATATATAAATAAAGAAAGAAATAATAATAATAATAATAATAATAATAAACATATCTGTGTATATTGTGTATATGTATAGATATGTTATGTGTGCACTGCATATGTGAATGTGTGTATGCAGGTACAGGTATAGGTGTATGTTTGTATGTGTGTGTATGTATATATATATGTATATGTATGAATGTGTGTATGTGTATGTAAATGCATGTATAGATATATATTATATACATAAAAGGAAGAAAATTAAAATAAATAAATAATAATAATAAAAAATAAATAAACATATATATATGTATATAGTCATATTCTGTGTTTATGTATATAATGTGATTACAAGGAATATTTCTTTGAATTAGTACGAACTATTTATTTTCTTACAATGAAAATTGTATTTGGAAATACTGTAAGCTCTGTGGATCCGCTACATTGTATATAATTTTGTTATATTTGTATAAGTAAGAAATGTAATTTTGTTATTTGTTAATAGGGTTAGGCGAAATAAGTGTTAAACTTCAGCCTAACCCTTTCGGTCAGTATATAATTTATAATTTGTGAATGTCAAATGTTTTCTTATTTTCTGCTGATGGCCGAAGAATAAACGAATATATATTATATATATGTGAAATGGCAACAAAACATGGGAACATACAAAGAAATACAGATATTGAGACAACATGAAACATTAACAGAAACTCAACATGAGGGAAAGGGATGGGGCGTGTGTGCGTGTGTGGGCGCGTGCGTGTGCGTGTGTGTATTATTTACCTTTACTCAAGTGGGATAATAAAACATCCATGAATATATATGGATAATATAATATATATATGTGATGTAAACCTACGCACAGGAAGAACATGCAAACATGTGCGGCCTCAGGAAGGCCCCATGTCACCTGGCATTCAAACCCTATCTATTATCTATTATCTGAAATAACAAATTCTGTTTGATGTGTGCAACCTGAGTGCTCTTATTTCCTCCTTTTCTCTATTCTGCTGTAATGTGCACAGCACACATGAACAAACACATGCAGGTCCAGGGCACAAACCAAAATAAAAGATAAAAAAAGATATACAGCCCATGACTTGAAAAATAAAACAAACTAATTTTTTTTTATCAAACTATGTTTTAATAGTGTTTCTTGGACTGAAAGTAGAAAACAGTGAAAAATAATCCGCACAGCTATGTAGCTGTCTTTAAAAATGTCTTTAAAAATGCTACCAGGTGTGTCTGGTTTTTCAAGTCTGACGAAGGGCCTCAGCCCGAAACGTTACTATTTTGTGTGGTATGTAAATAAATTACACTGTTTTTGGGAGCTACATAGCTGTGCGGATTATTTTTCACTGTTTTCTACGTCTTGCATTTTTTAATCCAGCACGCCAGCTCAGATTACAGGGATGTGCGGCCTTATTTGACATTCTCTTGGACTGAAAGTATCATGAGTCTATAGTAGACATAGAGGCCTATAGTGGGACATCACTTTAGTTCATACACAAACCACGCTGGAACCAACCACATTGGATGGAAATTATTGAACTACAGTTAGTTTAAATCACTTTTGGACTATGGGCAAACAAACAAGCATAGACCTATCAACATTTGCATCATCTTTATAGTCATCAAAACAAGTTTCACTGTCCAGGCAAACAATAAAAAGAAATCAATTTGGTTTTAGATGTTTTATTGTTTTTTATTTTATCAGTCACAAGGTGTATTGCTTTACAAAGTATGTTAAATACACTTTGTTGTATTTGTAAATTTCAAGTATTGCTAAGTTGATATCATCTTGTTGTGAATGGATGCCAACTCAACTCGAAGTTTCTTAAACGTGGGCCTTTTGTGAGGTTCATATTCCCAGCAGGAACTCATCATTTTGGCTATTTCTACAGGACACCCTGATGGAGCAGGCATGCGGTAACCTGTAAAAAATATAGACCAAATTGGTTGTTATCTTGTTTTCCAAATGCATCCTTACAGCAACCAGTAACATACAGTAATTGATCACGGCCTGGACCTTTTTGAGCAAGGCTTCTTCTATCAGTATTAAATTGGTAGATTTTTTTTCTTCCATAAAATAATATGTTGGTCAAATATTAAAGGAATAAACGCTCTGTTCTTCGAAATACACAACTTTTGTCTACAAACCATTGTATTAGTTATAAAATAAAATGGCAACTGGATAAAATAAATGTTTTCCAGAAATAAGAATAGATGTTACTTTTGTGCCAACTTGTGTGAGTCACGCAAGACCTTTCCACTTCATGCACTTTTGTCATATAGCTAAATGGAAAATGCTTGGACAGATTTTTGTTAGGCCTAATTAGCTTTTGTTCAAAAGGACATATTGTTTTGTTGAGGATTCATGATCCGAACCAAGCGGATCAGGTGAAAATCCACTGGAGGAATGCTAACTTTTTGAAAAATGCTAATGAAGCATTTAGCATTTTACTTTGCAGAGATAATGCTTCAAACCAAGGGGCCACTCCGCCTCTGCTGCTGTGACCTGTCCTGCTCCACCCAGAGGCTACTCCACCTCTGCTGCTGTGACCTGAAGGGCTGTTGCTACTATTGTTACCTTTTTTATTTTTTCTGCTACTGGACACCTGAATTTCTCCAATGGGGGATCTATCTATCTATCTAATACAGATTCATGTTCATGGTATATATTTAATGTTTTCAATTTCAAGCGAAGCTAATGTGATTCATTGGTGTAAATCAAAGTTCTTTTGTACTTACCTTTCTCCACCTGGTCTCTTGTTTGAGGGTTGGTGAAACTTGTGTAGGGCGTCATGCCTAATGAGAAGACTTCCCATAATAAGACTCCAAAACTCCACACATCACTCTCTGATGTATAACGAGCTGCAGCCAGTAGAGGGCAGTAAAACCAAAGCACAGAGCATTAGTTCATGAGAATGTGATGTGAGGCAAACACTGGACTGTAAGTTTTTAGGAGGATGTATCTGTGATATGCTGCTGCTGGGTTACTGACCAAAGTTTAATGCTTCGGGAGCAGTCCATTTGACAGGGATCTGCCTCGGACCTCCTTCTGCAGAGTAGACCCCGTCCTCCTTCTGCCGGGACATCCCAAAGTCGCTGATCTTCACCACATTTTTCTCTCCAACCAAGCAGTTCCGAGCTGCCAGATCCCTTTGAAAGCACAACACTGTGTGAATAATAAATACAAAATTCCAACAAAACTGAATGAAATGAATTGTAAATTGAGTGTGGTGAAAGGATTTGTGGCTGACATGTCGCTTGGGGGAGTTTGACATGCAGTGTTTACACCCGGGGTCTTCTCTGATCTAATTCCACTGGGGAGACTGTGACGAGTCCCTGTAATGAGCCCATGTCACAGGCCTATGTCTCCTTCACTTACCGACAAGCTTCACTGACGCTTTATAAAAGAGCCGCAGCCAGAATCCCACTACATCCACTGGGGCGGCATACTCTGGTGTGTCTTATAGACGCTTGAAGTGGAGACAAAAGCTGCTACACATTTTGGAGGCCCATTATACAGCAATTCATTTATTATTAATTCTTCCTATTTTTCTAAAGCCTGGATGAATCTTAAACTCTATTCGCAGGGGAATAAGTTTTACCAAGGGACGTCTTTAAAATTTGAATTACCCCAGGATATCTTCTTCGACCCAAATTCAACCAGTAATTTAAGATTTTACTTCCCATTTTATATAAAAGCAAACATATTCATGGTATTTAGTTTCCCGGTGTAAAGCTTTAAGGCTGATACAAAGAATTTATCACTCTGTTTTATATCCTGCACACAATTTCTCTGGTCATTCCAATTGAATCTTCTCATATTTTACAATAAATATTTGTTTATAATTGTAATAAATTGTAATAATTTCTAGTTTTAAATGTATATGGGATAACTTGCTAGGGAATAAGTTAGTTTTGGGGGTGAACAGTTGGTTTGTTTTGACAATTTCTGACCGAGAGAACAAGAATACATTATTTACTTACATTGCTGAATTTTAGATATTTTTCAGAAGATCTTCCTAGAGCTCTACTCCTGTGTGACAAGTTTCTTGTTTATGTGGCTGCGACCTCTATCAATGTGATACAAGAGCTGCATGTCCAATCAAGAAATAATAAACTACAACATTTTAAACAAGAGCCAAATTTAGTACCAAATTAGAGAAAGGATTTAAAGTCAGAGAAAGACATTTCAATAATTTGCTTTTTTACAAGAGCACAAGACAACATTTGGAGACATTGATGGGGTGCAAATATAATATTCGCTATGCACTTTACTTAATTATGTCAGTAATGTCCAGCCTAACCATAGTGAACCTGCTGCTGTACAGATCTTACTTTTACTTCAGCCTCAATGACGTTAATTTAAAAATAACAAGTGGCATAAAGCTGGAAAAGCTGAATATCTCCATCATGGAAACAAGCAGGAATACGGTATTATAGAAAGTTCCACATGCCCTTGTTGTATCAAGAGGTGCATGTTCTGGTTCTGTATCTGGCCCCAGTCCAAGCATCAAAAGGATGTAAAAATGGGAAATCTTTATCAAAGTTACTTCAGTCTAGAAAGAAGAGTGTGTTTTTCATGTGGATGCTGAAGGTGGAATAAGTTGTTCTGAGGCTTATTGTCTTGCATATTGATGTTTAGGTAACACTGTGTTCTGTTCGCAGAGCTACATCAAATCATGCAGCTCTAAAAGTTATTCAGATATTTTTAGCGATGCAGCTCCAGCGATGGCTCAGTGCTCCGGCAAAGTCAATGTTAATGTTGGCAACGCTGCCACAGTGTGTGCAGTATTAGTGGTATATGTATTTTCAGATTCATGCTGCTAGAATCTGGAACAGCTTTCCTGAAAATGTGAGACAAGCTTCTTCTCTGACAATGTTCAAACCCAGGTTAAAGACAGGTCATAACTGAAGGACTTTATCTTCGCTCTTTTTAATGTACTGTGATTATTTATGATTTTAATGCCTTGTGCAACTGTCTTTCTTGTTTTGTTCAGCACTTTGAGTTGCCTTGTGTATGAATTGTGCTTTACAAATAAACTTGCCGTGCCTACTTGTATTAACTTGCTACCCTGCTCTAATTCAGAATGATAAACAATAAATAAAAGATGACCCAACCTGTGTATGCACTTCTTCCCCTCCAGATACTCCATTCCAGATGCAACGTCTCTTGTCATCTTAATCATCATCTTGGACTTGAGGTTTAGACCCTCAGTACGCAGGAAGGAAAGGAAATCACCTCCTTGGAAAAAGGCACATAAACAATATCAAGACAGAGCCACAAAGGCAATTCTTTTCTATGCATCGTTACACAATCGTTACGGACCGCTATTGGTCATAAAGGGGCAGCAGAATTTTTGCACATTTTAGAAAAGGCAATAGTATTGAGAATAAATGCCATATTATTGAATTTATTGACCTTTATTTAATCCAGGATAAACTTAACACTGCTCCTCACCCTCAGTGCATAAAATACTTATCACACATGGGAGTGGTAGCATCATGTTAGCTTTTTCTTTTCCTTTACAATATTATGTATTATTTTACTTTCACTTCACAGTCGTCTGCTTTTAAATAATAAAAAAAGTATGTCTGAAAATGTTTTTGATTTCTCCATGTGGATGACAAAAATATCCATATGGTCCATTATAATGTAATTCCCTGCAGTGTCCTGGGAAATTCTTACTATGGGCTCCTTTTGGACCACAGCAGGCCACCGTAGTCTCCAACTAATGGGAAACACTGTATGGACTGAGAAGACTGACCTGGGACCAGCTCCATGATGATGTAGATGGGCTGCCTCTGGGTGCACACGCCGATTAGCTTCACAATGTTCGGATGATCGTATTGCTTTAAGATCCTACAGAGATTCATTCAAAACAAAATGAAAAGCTCACATAGAAAAACACGTGGATGTACCGACAATCATAGTTTATATTCAATAAGTAGAGCTTAATTTTAAAAAGTAAAAAAAAACGTATTCAAAACAATGCAAGATCTTCTTTAATTGATTTCAGATACATATTATAAACAAACTACATTTTTTAAGTCAAATGATGTATAAAGATGTTTTTGTTCTCTGTGATTTCCTTTTTTGCTTTGTATCAGTTTTATTGTAAATTCGATTTATCGTCTCACAGATGATTCGTCACTGACCTGGCCTCCATGAGAAACTTGTTCTTTTGCTCTGGAGCCAAACTCTCTCTGCAAGACTTTACAGCGACAGGAGTGTTGTTGAGGCGCAGATGTCCTTTGTACACGTCCCCAAAGTTTCCCTTAGTACAAAATAATAACTATTGTAACATCACGCAGCACAGCGGCTTATGACTTCATGGATTTTACACCAAAAAACACTCTGTGAATATACAATGGTGAATCTGATGCAACTGTGAGTAAGCACTTCTGTCTTGACTCACTCTGGTTTCAGAATGAGTTGAGATCAAAATAAAGAAAAGTTTTACATTTTCTCTGTTTCACATAACATTTCCAAAAGGATATATATGTAGTAATTTGCACACCACAGGCGCCAGAATAAACTGACAGAGGCCGAAGCTAAGTTTAAGTAGGTTTATTTCATTTTGCTTGAAGCGTTTTAAAAATGTTGGGCAAAGTGCAATTATGTTACGTACAATAACAATTAAAAAGACAGTACTGTTAAAAGAACCAGGTAACAAAAGAATTCAGTCTGTAAATCAAACAGTGCACAGCAAACACAACAACACCAATAAGACGGCCTTAAAACAGTACCACTGTTCTCAATAGTATAAGTAAATAATTGCACGACCCGTCTAAAGTATTTTGTAACGTTAAAAACTTCTAGGGCCCAACCTAATCAGTTCATATAAAACATGGGATAAAACAATGACAGGCAAGCGGCGCTTGATTCCTTTCTCGAATGTAGACCTTTGACAATTGTGGTGTCTTTTGTTTTTGTTTGTCCACGACCACCAATTGTTAAGAGTGACGCTGATTACGCAGACAGGTGTAGATGGTTGGAGGTATGAGATTTGTTGTTTAGGCTTTGTTAAACGGCTCGATAGATTGTTTGAGGTCCGCGCGCTGCCTTCACAAGACGTGCTCCGAGTGACAGAGGCAAAAAGGGAGGTGCGTCATCACGCATTGCGGCTTAGTGCTGGGACTAGCGGAAGTCGCCCCCCACCCACCAAAATAAACGTATTCATCCTACTACACCGGCCCCGGTTTTGAAAGGTCGCCGTCCCGGTGACTAAGCAGTTTCTGGTCGTAACTAACTACTGTTGATACGGAGGATTAAGTCATAGACCGCGGAAGGCGATGGAGATTTGTATGCTGACCTGCGGTTGTTCTCTGCGAGCGTCTTTGTACTGTAGTGTCTAACAGGGACACCGCACGGGCTGTATTTTGAGGACCCTGTTGCTGGTTTTGAGTTGTTATAGGTGGTGGGGTTACTTCAGTACTCTCTGCTTGGCATGGACGCGGAGGAGAGAGGGCCCTGACTCTTTGCGGCTCTTGGTCTAATATTATGATAAGAGCTTCTGATTCACTTTCTTCTGAAGAGTGTGAATGACTTCTTTGTGAGTGGGTGTCCACCAACCCCGGGTCTAAGTGAGATTCTTGTTCCATCTGTTGAACAGGTGGAATAGGCAGGACTTTGAGTTCAGCTCTATTCACATTTCTGTGATTACCCGCGGAATCTTTTGGATGGATTTGATACACTCTGCCTTCTGGATCCATACTTTTGATGACAACAAACACAGTTGGATCCCAAGCATCATGCAGTTTGTGACGCCCTAACGGGTGGCTCCTTTTGTACACCAAAGTACCTGGTGGAAGGACAGAGATCACATTGGGCTTGTAATGTCTATTCCTCCGTTCGGTTGCCTGCAGCAATTTCTCTTTGGCTTGGGCATACACTATATTTAGATAGTTTTTATGCTCTTCCACCCAATCCTGAGCTGAAGTAGAGGTAACATCCTCATGTGATGTGCCAAGCAAGGCGTCAACAGGAAGGTGGGGCTTTTGGCCAAACATCAACTCATATGGTGAGAAGCCGGTGGACTGATGCTCCGTGGTATTATATGCAAAAAGTACTTCGGGCAGATGTTGTGGCCATTTTCTTTTACTCTCGGGTGGAAGAGTGCGCAACAAGTCGTAGAGTGTCCTGTTGAATCTTTCACACTGCCCGTTGCCCTCCGGATGATATGGCGTCGTCCTACTTTTTTCGATTCCATACAAGTTACATAGCCGTCTCAAGAGATCTCCTTCAAAATTTCTTCCTTGATCGCTATGAATCCGTTTAGGGACACCATAGGTGTAAAACCATTTTTCCGTGAGGATCTTTGCAACGGTACATGCGCGTTGATCACGAGTGCCATATGCCTGGGCAAATTTGGAGAACACATCAGTTACCACTAGCACATTTTCTCTGCCGTCTGTTGATTTCTCAAGCAAGGCAAAATCAATGGCCACAATTTCTAAAGGCTTTGAGGCCACAAGACTTCCTCTGAAGGTGCGAACCCTCGGATAGGTAGCTTTCGCAAGTGTGCAGCGGTGGCATTCTTGGCAGTATTTTTCGATCTCATGCCCCTTAAAAGGCCAATAGCATCTGCTTCGGATCAGATTTATAGTGCGCGAGACACCTTGGTGGCCATGATTATCGTGAAGGCTCTTTAGAACTTCAGCTTTAAGGCATTGTGGCAAGAGAAGCTGCCATATCTGTTGCCCACCCGGAGGTTGAATTTGGCGGTATAAAACACCATTGCGCATTGTTATTCTTGACCACTGCTGTACCATTTTCCGAAGGCCTTTACATGACGTGCTTAATTCCTGTTTGGAGGGGGGTCTCTTCCTTTTCCAGTATTGAAGAAAACCACCAATGACTGGATCAGCTGCTTGCAAGGTATTCAGATCTGCTTTTGGGCGGAACGGCAGCGCTGTGATTATACTGCAAGAGGCATCAGCAGTGGAGCTGGTCTGGTGTCTTATATGGGCCTCCTGGGGCACCGCGAACCCAGGTGTGGAAGGAGATATGTTCTGTGGTTGTACTTGGCGTGACAGTGCATCAGCATTCCGATTAGCTGGTCCAGGGCGGTACTTTATTTCAAAATCGAAAACTGCCAACTCTGATGCCCAACGTTGCTCTACTGCACTCAGGTTTGCGGTTTGAAGGTAACTTAATGGGTTATTGTCAGTGAAGACAAAAAACTTCTTCCCCAGCAAATATTCCCGGAATTTCTTAGTGACAGCCCATTTAAGGGCCAAGAACTCAAGCTTTCTGGAACTGTAGTTCGACATATTCTTTTCTGTGGATCTGAGCCCTCGACTTGCAAAAGCGATCGGTCTTCGTCTGCCCTCCTGGTCTTGAGACAACACTGCTCCCAGACCAGCATGACTTGCATCAATCTCAAGAATGAATGTCTTTTTGAAATCAGCAAAGCCCAGCACTGGAGCACTGATCAACATTTGTTTGAGTTTTTTAAACGCACCTTCACAGTTCTCAGTCCATAGCTCCGCCATGACACCTTTCCCTCCCGACCTTCTGTTTTTAGTGCCACCTAATGTAGCTACCAATGCATGAAGGGGTGCAGCATACTTGGCAAACGCCTGCACAAAGCGTCGATAGTAGGACGCAAAGCCGAGAAAAGACTGCAGTTCTAAACAGGTGGTCGGTCTGGGCCACTCTGCAACGGCATTTATTTTGGAGGGATCTGTTGCTACTCCAGCTGCTGAGATTATGTGGCCCAGATACTGCACCTCCGGTTGAAAGAAGTGGCATTTCTGCAACTTAAGCTTCAAGTTATGTTGCTGAAGGCGGGTAAGCACTAGATCCAGTCGTTGAAGATGTTGTTCAAAGGTCGCGGAAAAAATGATGATGTCATCTAGATATAGTAGCAAGGACTGGAAGCTCTGATCCCCAAATATCCGCTCCATCAATCTTTGAAAAGTGCTTGGGGCGTTACACAACCCGAAGGGCATCCGATTGAATTCAAAAAGGCCGAAGGGCGTACAAAAGGCAGTTTTAGCTTTATCCTTTTCCGAAACAGGCACTTGGTTGTATCCGCTTGCAAGGTCTAAAGTTGAAAACCACCGTGCACCAGTGAGGGCATCCAAAGTCTCCTCTATGCGGGGAAGAGGGTAAGCATCCTTTCTAGTTCTTGCGTTAAGCAACCGGTAATCCACACAAAGCCTCATTTCTCCATTTTTCTTGAAAACTATGACTATGGGTGATGAGAATGGGCTTGAGCTCGGCCGTACGACCCCTTTGTCCAATAGGTCCTGTATATGGGCCTTCACCTGCTCGTACTGTGATGGTGGAAGGCGGCGATAACGTTGCCGTACGGGCGCCTCGTCGAGTAGGTGGATTTCATGCTCTACCAAGTTTGTACATCCTATGTCCCCATCACTTTGACTAAACACTGCGCCATGAGTCTTAAAAAGCCCAGCTGCTTGTTGGCTTTGTTCAGGGGACAAATTTGACAAATGAAAGGCCGAAAGATCAAGGGACTGCGAGCAATCCACTTCCACCTGGTTAATCACAGCCGTTGCGTCCTGGTCTTCACCTTCCTCCAGCGTAACAGTATTCCCGGGATGCTGGGTGTCCACCACGTGCAACTCTCCCAACTGCGTAAGGGGATTCAGCCAAACATCTTCCGAACCCACATTAACGACTGGGATTTCTACATTTCCTTGGTGGACCGAGAGGAGGGCAGATGACACCAGGAGGCCTGCTGGCAAATGGTTGGTGCCTGATAAGGGCTCCAGCAAAACTGATGGAAGAGTCAGATCAGATGCAGATGGGCAAACAGTGTGAATCCAAGTTAAAGAACCAGCTGGGACGCGTACTGCTCGACCTTGGACCTTAGCTTTACCCAGGTGCCCTTGTGTGGTCACAGCTTCAATATGCTGGCATTTCACCAGTGCCTCTCTCCATCCTCTTCCAGCCGCTTTGATGACGGGCGACTGAAAGAAACTGGGTCCAAATTGGTCAGACAATAGATTGTAACAGCATTGAATGCTGTTCATTCCAAGGAGACCAGGCACTGTTGAGCTTTGGTCTGTGGGCTCGTTAGGGGGGTCTTTGACCACGAGGACGCCGATTTGATCCAGGCTCCTGCCCAATACATTAACTTCAAGCTCCATGTATCCTTTGTAAGGGATATTGAGCCCATTAGCCGCCTTAAGCCGCAACCAATGGCATTTTTTCAACAGTCCAATCCCCTGTGGTTTGAAGAATTTATTAAAGAAACTTTCTCGTATTGTGGTAACCATTGATCCAGTATCAAGGAGGCAGGGGACAATGACGCCCCCCATGCTAACCTCTACCACCGGGCAGTTTCCAATGAGTCGGGAATAATCTTCAGGTGAGCCCACAAACCCCTTTTCTGACGCCTGGCTCTCCGCACCAGAGGGGTCTAGTTTTCCGACGGTTGAGAGTCAGGGCCCTCCCCCAGTACTTGACTGCGCAAAGCAGCTTCAGACACGGACAGCGCACGCCGATTGCCTGGATTTAGGTTTACCCTACAATACCGCGCAATATGACCGGGCTTATTACAGCGATAGCAGATAGGCTTACCGTCTGCCTGAACACGGGGCCGTTTAACAAAACTCTGAGGGACATCATTACCTTCAGTTCGAGGGAGCTGTGCTGTTAAATGCTGCATGATAGTATCAAGTTGGGACTGTTGTTTACGAAGCGATTCCTTAATCTCAGCAATCTTATCAATCGGCTTTATTGCTACCACATTAGAGTCAGCTTCAACCACGTCCGCATAGTGAGAGTCGCAAGAAAATGCGCGAGACCGAGTTTTACTATTGGGTCTACTGGCTTCAGTCCACCCAATAGCTTCTGCGCGGAGCTCAATAAATGGAATATCTGGGGTTCGGACAATGCGTTGCTTCAACTCTCTGCGCAAAGTCTCATCTGAAATGTGTTCGATAAATTGATCGCGTAAAATCATGTCGTTATTAGGAATACCACCCGGGGTTTTGCGTATGGCTACCTCCATTAATGACTTTAAAGCATGGGAGTATTCACGGAGAGATTCACCTTCTCGTTGAGTACGTTGAAACAACTGAAGTTGCGCTGCTACATAAGACTGTTTACAGCAATAGTTTTCAGTCAAGATGGCAAAAATTTTCTCTGGTGTATTCCGACTAAGACTAGGATGGAAATTAACCTCCGCTTTTGCTCCACCATCTAGGTGGTCAATAACAAACAATACTTGTTCAGAGATTGGCATATGTCTAACCTCCAAGCATCTCCGTACCTCTTCAACCCATTGATTAACAGTTAGCATATCAATACTCATTTTACCAGTAAACTTCGGACACTTGCGATCTTTAGGTGCATATACATAACGTATATTTGCAGTTTCATGAGACGCATTGCTCATGGAAGCCATGTTGGTATTAGAAGACCCAGGGCAAGGTACAGATACCTGAGTGCTTTGAGTCTGTCGAATTTGTAGCTGCTCTCTCAATTGTTCATTTGAGGCTTTAAGTTGCTGCAGCTGCTCCATAAGAGCCTGTGCTTCTTCCATGTTGTTGCGCTGAAGGTGGAAGAGTAGAGTGGTGAAGCTTGAGTACGGTGCTCCCTCGATGCCGATGACCTGCCACTGTTTTATCCCACTAACCGTAAAGGGCCATTAAACTTAACTCGCCTAATCCTGTCAGCAACGCCAATTCTGTAGTAATTTGCACACCACAGGCGCCAGAATAAACTGACAGAGGCCGAAGCTAAGTTTAAGTAGGTTTATTTCATTTTGCTTGAAGCGTTTTAAAAATGTTGGGCAAAGTGCAATTATGTTACGTACAATAACAATTAAAAAGACAGTACTGTTAAAAGAACCAGGTAACAAAAGAATTCAGTCTGTAAATCAAACAGTGCACAGCAAACACAACAACACCAATAAGACGGCCTTAAAACAGTACCACTGTTCTCAATAGTATAAGTAAATAATTGCACGACCCGTCTAAAGTATTTTGTAACGTTAAAAACTTCTAGGGCCCAACCTAATCAGTTCATATAAAACATGGGATAAAACAATGACAGGCAAGCGGCGCTTGATTCCTTTCTCGAATGTAGACCTTTGACAATTGTGGTGTCTTTTGTTTTTGTTTGTCCACGACCACCAATTGTTAAGAGTGACGCTGATTACGCAGACAGGTGTAGATGGTTGGAGGTATGAGATTTGTTGTTTAGGCTTTGTTAAACGGCTCGATAGATTGTTTGAGGTCCGCGCGCTGCCTTCACAAGACGTGCTCCGAGTGACAGAGGCAAAAAGGGAGGTGCGTCATCACGCATTGCGGCTTAGTGCTGGGACTAGCGGAAGTCGCCCCCCACCCACCAAAATAAACGTATTCATCCTACTACATATAAAATAAATCATTTGGTCAGCATACGCACCTAATGTGAAATAAATGAATAAAATAAAAAAACAAAGATGAGCTGTAAAACCTGCACAATAGAAAAAGAGTGAGTGAATGGTGTTGGTTGGAGGCTTTGAAGCACCAGTGCGTTCAGCGTCTCGCTCCAGTCATCACCGTGTGAGAATGAAACAATATCTGAACGATGAACATTGTAAAGCTATATAAATAAAATTAACTTACTTACAACTTTCTACCAAATACTTTTTCCTCAAAAAAACGATTGAGACTTTTAGTAAAACAGATAAAGCTCTCATTTTTTAATGGGGGTCTCCTCGTAGATAGAGTGTGACCCATGGGTAGGTAGCAGATGATTCTCCTGCCCTCTTTTTCCTGGTAGGGCGTACTCAGGGGAAAAAAAGGTTGGGGACATTTGACATACAATACAAACAGTAAGAAACTAAAATCCAACCCTTAATAATAATAAAATAAATAAATAATAATGCATAGTTTTTTTATAGCGCTTTTTTGGACACTCAAAGACGCTTCACATGTCATTATTAATTTGCTCCATACACGGTGGTGATAAACTTACTGTAGCCACAGCTGCCCTGGCCCCCAGGGCACAATATAATATATGTCCTTTCAATGCAGTCCATTGAGTAATGTCTATTCAGCCTACAACACTATAGAACCTTCCACTTGACAGTATAAAACTCACCCGTCCGATAAGTGGCCCCAGAATCAAGTCATCGTGTTCCAAAACCCATTTGTCCTGAAAGAAAATCACCTTTAATACATTCTCCTGCACTGGGCACATGGTTTGTGAAGCTGTACCTTGTTCACAGGGTTCTTCAGCAGGATGTCGGACTTCTTGGTGACGTGTTGTTGAGTGAAGAACAGATGATGGATCAGTTTAGGGATGCTCTGGAAACTCTCCCCATCCATGCGATACATGTCCTAACAAACAAAAATACATCAGGATATTTTATGACCAGCGACACTTGGCATTACATTTACATTCTTTTGAGTCGTTTCTTGCCAATGTCGGAGAGTCTAATGACACTGATGATCTGGGACATTTACTGACATTGGTCTTCTTGTCCCCTATGGACCAATGGCTCCTTTGTGTTTGCTATTATTGCATTTTTTGTTTTCAAACTGTGATTCTCGGATTCTCTTTGGAAAATATCTCATTGAACTTGTTGGTCTACAAACGAATCAGACCAAAACATTTTGTCCTCCTCTTTTGTTATATGTTTTTTTTTTGCATATTTGTGAGAGGACAAATGTATGTGGATACCAGAGTTGAAAACAATCTTCTGAGATTTTATTAAAAGTTTTTGTGGATTGTAAATTTGGAAACCGTAGCTTTGTTAAATTGCATACTGCAAAGAGTGATTGTGAATGTTAGTATTGGCTGCAATTGGTTTTCAGCAACGAGTAATACTTACTCAACTTTGGCAAGGTTTTAAAAATTCTTCTGATCTCAAAGGTTTTTTTTCTACCACCTGTTGACCTCCTTGACAGCAGTGTTGCATCAAATCAGAAATATTCTAAGCTCGTTTGGACGTGTTTGTATTTCTCTTCACCAGCATGAGATCCAGCAAGTGTGAAAGAAAAAGCTTCAGAACACTGTAGGGAAAGCGGCGTGGCTTTGCAAACATGATGCAAAAGTGAAAACCTAAGCGTTTTCATACATTTCTCAGCTTAACTTACATCTACGTATTGAATGAGGAAGTGCTTGCAGGATTGGTTCCACTGCACCGACAGCACATAGCCAGGCTTTTCTTGACTTTTCCGCACTAGAAAGTCCCCATTGTTCTTTAGTAGTTCTTGGACCTCCAGTCTGGGGATGGCTCCATGATACCAGTCCTGCTGCTCCAAAGGACGGTCTACATCTAT